CAGCAGCCCCCTTCTTTCATTACAGCATGAGATAGACAAAATGTCCAGCAACAGGGACTACTCCTCTGGGAATCCAAGCTCCTTGCTTCGCTTGCCAGGCATGCCGATGGAAAACCTCAGAGGCAAATGTTCAACATTTGAGCAGATCTGTAATCAGCTACAACCGTACTCATCAGTTCAGGCATGCAGTGTTATATTTTCCCCCAACTGGCAATAAAAAGGTTATGTTAAATCATTGCTGTAAAATTATCATGTTGAGTTTTAGCACCATTCAAATCCTACCCGGCAGACAAAGATTATATTGACAAGATCTCTGTCACTTTGTTTTGGTGTGGAAGGTTTAAAACTTGTTCTGCAAGGCTATTAGAAAACGTACCATGATAAAGTAATTTTAACTATATAAATACATTACAAAATCTGTCGCTTTAAACAAATTGTGCTTTTTTTAGAAGCTTTCCTGAAATTAGATGTTTCTGCCCAAACTTGGATAACTTGGCCTAGATCTCAGGCTGTTTCAGGGTGGTGAACAATAGACTTCACAGCCAAATTATATCCCCTGGTGCACAATGAAACGAACTGCCATTTCTTCCCTCATTGCTTTCCTGTTTTCCAAAAGGCATGGATTTGTCCACACCTGAGACTGATTCTCGAGATTCAGCCAAACAAGTCAGAGCAGTTTGGGTGGAAGTAGATGCATTTGTGAAATATGCTTCAGATTTGAGGCCACTAAGTGCTAATAGAATATTCATGTAACTTCCCTTAAAGGTGCCTAGTTGTATTAATAGTTATTCATTTATCTATTCAGATAAGAAAATAAAAAGTTCATCTTTAAAAAACAAAGTGCAACGGTCCTTTTCAGGACTTACTGCTGCAAACATGTACACTGACCCTACAAAACAATCATTGTGGTTTTGCCATTGATTTCAATAGAGGTCAACTCGCACTCATGTCAGTGAATACTGAAAACTCTCTTCCTTTAACTTTAAGCTTGCATTATACTTGGTACACCCAGTCAACATACTCAAACTCTGCAGTTCCTTAAATTTGAAGTGAAGTGGCTGAAGTCTTCCAAATACTCAAACTTCCACCGCTTTCCTTAAAAACTTGGCTTTAAACTGATTCAGTTAAAGTTGTACAAACCTAATATGGACATTCTTACCTGGATTTAAGACTATTTTAGACTAACTTACAGCAGCTACTGATTAAGTGAAACTTCATGAATACAGGGCAGATTTAAATCCAGCTAAGCATGGTCCACTGAGATTAATTTTTAAAGTATATACTTAAACAAGTTTAAAACTCCAGTGGTGTAACTTTGAAATAGACAAACCTTACACTATTGCACCTCTGCGAGCTTTATTTGAAAGGATTAGGGCTTCCAAAAAATCTTGATATAAGAAACATTTGTTAATCAGCAGACAGTTATGGTTTTCTAAAAAGTTATCCAACAATGGTCAATCTACATTTTATCTCACAAGTATTTATATGGTTATTTGGAAAAGGCATATAAAAATTCCTGACAGCAGGATATTAAATGTGACCCTTGGGTTGTTCCACCTACATTGAATGTTGTTCTTCTAAAACTAGACTGCTATTCTACCTGATTTGTTTTGTCAAGAAAAAAGCCAGTCATGCATCTATCTGAATGTTAGGAATGAGCATTCTTTTTCACAAGCACTAATATCACAAATCCAAAGTATGCTTATCAATTAATTTCAATGACACGGCTGAGGACAGAAAGCTGAAAACAAAGCAGGCAAGTAGCATCACAGGAAAAACCCCCAAATTATCCCAGTGAAAGTCTCATCCCATGCACACATTTCAGGTTGGTGTTCCTAATGCAGAAACAATCTACTAAAAAGTGCAGTACATTAAAAAAACAGAAGGGGGGGGAGGGGAAAGCAAAAAGGAAAAAAAAAAAAGGCAAGTATAAAATTCACCTTTGGTAGGGACAAAAGCAGTTTTTCCAGCATGTCTTAAGACCTCCTCATATCATATCCTATCATTCTGCCTTTGAACCACTGTCAAAGGAAGACCATCCACATGTCTAGCAGAGTTGAAACGAGCAAGGGATCACATGTTTAAATCAAGTCAGTCAGAGCTGCAGTGAAGTGCTCTCCACTGAGGAAAAGGCTCTTTAATCTCTCTGAAATACTCATAAGGAATCATTTGAAACTGCTAGGAATGGAAACAAAAACAGTCGACTGGTCCAAAGACCAGAGCAGCCTCAGACATGAAGGTGACCCTTGCTTTCAGAAGAATAAAACCA